TCGAGGTGGTAAAATCTGTGAATGCCCGCCGAAGTTGTCGCGGTTTTCCGACTTGTCTCGTGCTCGAGCCATGCCGAAAAGAGCGGGCGCAGGCCTGGGACAGCGTCGCAAAAGCGGCCAAGGAGTCCGTCCCGGCTCCAGGCCAGGACCAGATCGCCGCTCGGTACCGCCAGTTTGCGACTCTGTGCCTGCGCAGTCGTCGCTATCTCACGCTTCCGATCTCGTCACAACAGGCGCCCTCGCCGAGTGCAACGTCCTCGCGGCCGCAAAGCCGTGCTGGCTCGCGCAGAGTCGGCGTCGCAAAGAACCTGAGAGCACCGCGGCATGCTACGGTTGGCGACGTCCTCGGCGAGGCCATGGAGCTGCATAGCACGAGCGACGAGGGCCGCCGCGACGGGATCTACAACCAGAGAGAGCACGGACGCCGAGGATCGCTCTCCCGTGCAGCGCCGCAGCGGCTCGTCGGCGGCTCGTCGGCTGCGGCCTCGAACGGAGATCGCATGGAGGTTGACGAGGAACCTCCCTCTCTGAGCAGTGCTCCAGCGGAGCCTGCGCAGCAGCAGCAGCAGCAGCAAGCAAGCGTGCTCACGCTGGTGGCAGACATCGGACGCCTCGAGCTGGAGGAGGTTGGCCACCGTGCCGCCGCTCGCGAAGCGATTACAGCGACAACCGGGACGCAAACATCAGGCGTGCCGACGCCTCGCGAGCTGCGTGCCCAAGCCCGGCTCGACTTGCAAGTCGTAGGGCTGCGCGAGGAGGAGCGGCGGCGGCAGCGGCTGCACGCGGCGGCAACGACGAGGCTCGTTCGAGAACTGGCGCTGAAGCTCTCGAACCCGCTGCGACACTTTGGCTGGGGTGCATTCATTCAGTTGATGATGTGCGAATTCGTCATGCGGCCAGAGGTACAGGGCCGCTCCGGCCGCTCCCTCGGCGTAGCGTTTCGCTCGCAGCTGCTGCTGGTGTACGAGCCCAGCGACGTGCCGACGCTCCCGGGCCTCTACAGCCTCGACGTCTTGCAGGCGTCGCTCAACACTCCGCTGTTGCAGCGGGCCGCCCTGCAGGCGATCGACGACGTGAAGCTCTTCTCGCTCCACCTGCCCGGCGTGCTCGGCAAGGTGGAGCCGACAGAGGCCGACTCGCTCCTCGGCCTGTGGCAGCGCGCGGCGGAGGTGCGGGCAGCGGAGGCGCGCCGGCCGCAGCGCGGCCGGCCACGCAATCGCATCGAGTACGCGCTGCGTCAAAACATGACGGGTAATCGTTACTCGGCCGCCCTGCGCAAGGCCGTGTACTTGTACCGCCACAAAAGCGGGACGGAGCGCTCAATCTCGATGCGCGGCGCTGCGTCGCTCGCTCGGGATGGCGCCACGCTCCTGTTCGACATCTCGGACGACGATATCGCACGCGTGCGGCTGCCGAGCGCGGGCACGTGCTCCCTCATCGACCGGGCCGTCCACCGGGTGCAGCGCATGCAAGAGGTGGAGTTCACCTTCTCGCGCGTGACCTACTTCGTCGCCTTCGGGCACGCGCAGACCCTCCCTCCTCCGCCACCGCTACTGGCACCTCCGCCTCCGCCGCCACTCTCAACCGCGCGGCCGCCACCAGCTCTGCCAGCTCCGCCGCCGCCACTTCCTCCGCCGCGGCCTCTAGCTCCACCACGGATGCGGCCTCTAGCGGTGCTGCTGGCTCCGCCCAGGCCGGTTCGTCTACCGTCTCCTCAGAAGCTGGGCTCGGCATCTCGTGGACAGAGCTAGAGCCGACGCTCTACGGCCGGGCGACCCAGCGTCGCTCGAGCTGCCCCGTGCCGACGGACAGGTACGACGAGCACTTGAACGACATCATTGTGCATAACATGCAGGACCTCTCACCGTGGGCCGACAGCCAGGACGTGCAGGCGAGGGCGCCGATCTCGGGGATGACGATTCGCGCCGGATCGCTCTTCAACCGCTTCAAATCGGGAGCCCCCACCGGGTGGGTGGCGAAGCTGTTCGCGGGCGAGGCACCGACGGAGCGCAAGCTGGTCATGCAGCGCTTTACCGACGGCAGCGAGTTTGGCGGGCACTGGCACCAGCTCCTCTTCTTCGTCGACCAGAGACGGGTGCTCTACCACGAGCCCTATGGCGGCGCAATCGACTCGGGCATCGCG